CATGAATACTGCGATTGGATCGTTGACGAGGGATTTTCCAAACAATTACTCTGTTACATATAACACACAGCCTAACTAGTTCCAGTATTAAGTGATGCAGTCAGCTTGTTGATTAGGCCTACAGTGTGTAATTGGATAAACAAATGAAACCTGTAATACAGCATAGCATGTCAATAGCGCCACACAAACAAGTTAATGACGTGCACTATAAACAATATTTCATTTCATTCTGTCTGTATTTAAACACCATAGTTCCATTTATTCATTTTACAAATGAAAAGGCCCATAAATATTATTCAGTGACATCATCACCTACATCTTTCTTCATACATGTCACACAGACGAATAAAATACTCTGAATATCTGTGATAGTAACAAATAATGTAGTCGCACCAATGATATATTTCACATGGGATGACACCGTAATATACACATTGAAATCATTCAAGAAACTCAACTGGAATTTGGACATATTCATTCTGATATGTCTGAGTAATCTAGCCACCTGTATTATTCTATCATCACAGAAGTCATTCAAAATGATACCAGTAGATAATTAGTAGCCAAATGATGGCTGGTAGCATAAATCAAGACGAAATATTGATTCCACATTTACAAACGTTGTTTTGAAGGGATTAGACTGACTTCATTCTGCATCAGGGATTCACGTCATTTAGAGAACCAAAGGAAAATCGACGCAGTACTGGACAGAGAACGGATGAAGAATACGCAGGTAGGACGGAACAGTTTTCTGGGACTGCCTGATTTTCAATACTTCTTCAATTGATCGATGATGCATAATAACCATGTGGGAGTAGATACAACGCAATCTATATTAGATAGGTTTATTTTAATAATCACATAGTGATGTAGTATTAACAACTGGACCAGTTTTCAATACCTACATCAATGACACCTATGCTATTCATGTTCGAAGACTAGTCAATAGGCTCACATGTTTACCTCAAACAGAATCGAGATTCGCAAATCACCGTATTTTTAACACTCGATGCCTGAGAACGGAGTTATTATTATTATCTTAGTATCTTCGTGTATCTACGCGTTGCAGTTAAAAGAAGAAAGGTGAAAGTAGCAGGAGAACACATCGGTAGACTCCGTCTCAGAGAAGAGAACCACAGAATCATCAGGAAGCCGACTGACATCAGACTTCAGATTGAACAACTGAAGTCCAAGCTAAAATGTATCTTTTAGATATGACAAAGATCATATGTAGATCAGGTGGATGATTTTGCTGTTTGCGTTTTCAGATCTTGATAGTTAATTTGTGAAGCTTTCATCACCCTACTACGCGACATCTCCAGAGCACACTTTTAGATTTCTCCACGAGTTCATTAATCATCTCTCCTGGTGACCTAGGACGCGTGTGGTTGTTTTTGTGTTTTCACACTTTCGGCCTTACATGTATTCCAACTGATTGTTTCTTTGACTTATACTTTGACCCTTTGTGCGCGAAGTTTCTATCTTATCGGTTGATAAATTTTGTCTATCTCGATGTGTCTATTGATTGATGATTCACTGGAATGCCAAGCTTCTAAAAATTCTCCACCATTCTTGTTGTTTCCTCTGTCTAGTATTTGAACATTGTCCCAGTCGAATTGATGTCCGTGGCTGTGTGTATGTAGTGATATGAGGGGGTGGATATCATGTCTTTTGACGGCTAGCTTATGATCATGGATACGAAGACAAAGGGGACGTCCAATTTGGTCAATGTAGTGTTTTTCGCAGTTGTTACAATTTATTTTGTAGATGATGTTGGTTTTATCTTCTTTCGCTGTTGAGTCTTTTGGTTGACATAGAATTGGGTGAAGTGACTTTGTTGGTTTGTGTACGATGTCAATTCCTAAAGGTTTGAAGAGTCTTGTAGTGATTTCTGAGATATCCTTTATATATGGTAAGGCGATTTTCTTTGTGCTTTCCTTGGGGGCTCATGGTTTGATAGGTTGACTTGGGGGTATATGTCTTTTGATGAAACTCCGTGGATATCCATTCTTTTGGAAGACGTCTATGAGATATTTTTCTTCAATTTTCCTTAAGGTGGAAGTGCTGCAATGAGTCCTTGCCCTCTTCAATAGTGTTTGTATGCAATTCCTTTTGTGTGTTATTGGATTGTCGCTGTTGTTGTAGTTCAGGATTCGGTCTGTGTGAGTTGATTTTCTATAAACTTGAGTTTCTAATTCCCCTGTGGTTGTTCGCTTGACTAAAACGTCCGAAAATGGGATTTGGTTCTCGGATTCCTCTTCTCGTGTGAATCTGTTGTAGTTGAAGACGTTGTTTATTAAGTTGTGAGTTTTATCTTAATAGATGAACAAGAAATAATGATAACCTCCATCGTCACAGCATCATACACCTCAATCGAACAAAAGCTAGCCAGAGAGACAATCGAACAATTACTCAGCGAGAGTACTAACCGCTGTGCTACTAACTGCATTCAATAAATCCGAAAAGACTCAAATCCAAATGCACAACAAACTAATGGAAGTAAAATATCCTGCTAAAGAGGAAGAACTCACCAACAAAATGCGTTCAACCATCCATAAAACAAAGTGGGTAATCAGCCTCTCAACAATAGCCTTAAGTTCTGATGAAATCAAAGTACTTGAAAAGGGATTAAACTTCAATGTAGCTGTTAACAGATTGAAATCTGAAGAAGTCATTCTCAGTACAGAAGTAGAATTTAGTGAAATAGACGGAACTACTGCGGAACAAGTCAGAGTACAATGTGCCTTAACACTGAAACATCGGGAGAAAGCAAGAAGCAACTTATCACAAGAAGAAATAGCAGTCCTAAAAAACTTGAGAAACGACTAAAATAAAGTGATTGCAGAGGTGAAAATACGTAAGGTGACAGTAGTTCCAGTTGTTACTGCTGCACCAATGTGTGATCATCAAAATAATCTCATCTAAAATAGAATCACATTCTACCACAGTGCACAAGCTCTCCACTCACACTGATGAACGACATCTAGTGACCAGGTTGTTCGCTTACATTACACATGCAAATCCATACGGTGCCGAATCCATTAATGAAACAAACAAACACATATATTTAAAAGAAGCAGGAGAAGTAGTCTCGAGACGTGCGTCGTCATGATGCAGTCTTACCAAATACTCATTGTCTTTCCCAGTCATCTTATCACGAAATGGCAATTTCAATGACTACGTCTCATTTTTTTCACCAGCCTACTCTCTTTTTGAAAACTTTTCCACCAGTACTCGAATATACTTTTCACGAAATAAGACTGACTGTTCACCAGTCACTGTCACCTCTACGTAATCAAATCACCAACCATCACTCTAGTGACGGAGGAAACACGGAGGACACAGAATTCATTTTCAATATTTTACTAACATTCATACTGACAAACCGGATTTATTATTTCCACCCGACTGTGATGATTCGTGGAAATTGAATATCTAAATATTTTCATTCATCAGATAGCACTACTGTCAAGTAGTCAATATGTATTCATTGAAAACTAAAGCTTTGCTACAAAATGACGTCAGTGAGAAAGATTATTAAACACGGCTAGTTTTTCCGCACATGGGAGTAATCTACGATACAGACCTATCTCACTGTGAACTATATAACACCCGTTGTTGACAGATATGCTTTTGAGCTTTCACCAATGAATTCATATCAAGCAGAGTAGACTGAAAGCGGATATCCAAAATAAATGCTGTTTCAATGAACACGCTCTGTCCTAGACTCTATTAGTGAGCCTCCCGCTCTTGTGTCTATGAGGCATACTTCTTCTCGGCCATTCACTCGCGATTCGGATGCATTGTCCCTCTCATTCGTACTTCACTTTCCGTCCTCATTCGTTCAGTTTCAGTGGCTATTGCTGTTACCCTTTTGCCTAGCACCTGTCTGGTCACCTTCACCAGCTTACCGATGTCCATGGGTTGTGCAGCGTTGACCAGTTGTAGTTGCCGAGAAATGTGGTCTGAGACACTGTTCATCTCCTGAGAAGCCAATAACTGCAACCCCAACTATTCATGCAATGAGAGAGTGCACGACGTAGTAGATTCATCAGTCTCATCACCAACACTAGCGGGTCTTCAATCGGTCCTAGCTTCGCGGCACGGAAATGCTGCTTCTCCGTCGAACTCCGACATCAACCGCTCAACTAACAACTTCAACGTCTCCACCCCACCTGAGCGCTCCAAACTTTCGTACGCCGCCTTTGCTTGACTTCACAGTAGCATCCCCAGGAAAGACCGTTTTTACCATCGGATCATTGACACCCACTAACTTAGAGACGGCTTCAAAGTCCTGTAAGAAGCTCCTGATATCTCCTTCCTTGAAAGCAACCTGCCATGGAATCTTCATTGTCTAGGGGCAGCAACACCAATTGAGACGGTGTAAGAGGAAGATTTGGTAGAGAAAATCGGTATTTAGGTAAATTATGAACACTTTGTCTTAAATGCACAATTTGCACAGATCTTCGTGTTGTGGTACTTCTGGTCTACATATTGTTTCTCTCACGTCTCCCATATATCTCCACAACGCCGCCCCACTTTAAACTATTGTCTTAAATACACATGAAACCTCTGCCAACGATTAGCATTGTAATATTGCTGATAGCTTACTTGTAAGAAACACAAATGTATAACACTTATACAGTCTTAATGTATTCAAACTTATTGGTCGAAAATAATACGCACACTGAAGTGATCCACACGACTGCTGACCCTTATTGATATTAAATCCAGACAACCTACACACAGTAGGGGAAAAGTTCTGAATCATCCGGGGACGGAGTTCCAATTAACTGACTGAATGGTTATGCATTTACTGTTGTCATGCCACTTTTGATTTAAACCATCTACCCTTTGTATCTCCTGTTATGCTTTAATTAATCTCTAATGTTTACTTTATGAGACTGGCATTTTATCATTGACCTGTGAGATAGCCTACTGTTATTATATAGCACATAGCAAGTCTTTAACAAACATTGTACAAAGTTGCAATTGTACACCTTTTGAATAAATTGTTTGTTTCCTCAACAAACTTTAGTTTACTTTTAAGTTAACGGAATTTATACAAACATTGCAACTGCAAAGTGATATTTTTGCAGTTGAAAAAGCCAGTGGAAGTTCATGTTAAAAGCCACATGTGATATGAGAAACAATATGAGATACCTAACAATGATTAGGCATATTCTTCAGATTACAATTACTTACAAACAAGCGCGAGCTATAAGGTAAGGCTTCAATTATGAATAGTTTATAGTAACTAATGAACAATGGGAAAAAAGATTATAATAATGATTCCTCAGAAACGATTCGGTGCTGGGTTACCCAGGAATACATGGGTAAGACAGCAGGCACTATAAATTCTTGTATAATCAGTTGAACAGAAAAAAGAATAACAAGTAAAAAGGCCTGAGTCTTTTATTATTATCATTACCAAACAGCACATAAAATGATAAACAAATTATACAGCTGACAAGACATACAACAAAATGCATGATTATTCTCATATCACAAGGTTCATTAAATGAGAAGAAATTTTTATTTTTGCCTCTTCGAAGATAAAATTTCTTTGATTTTATTCACAACCTCTGTATACGGAACTTCAAGTTCCTCGCGGGTTTGAACATCTCTAATCTTCACAACGCCACGATTTAATTCACCTTCACCCAATACCACAGCTAAAGGAATACCAGTTGTCTCACAATACTGCAATTGATCTAGGAGTTTGGGATGATTTTTATGTGACATAGTAGCCTATCAATTTGTAAAGGAACGACGTTAGTGCACAAGAATACGCATTACACAATATTAACAAAGCATATGAAAACGTCATACAAAAATACTAAATTAAGTACAGTGCGATATATACTCAAAGTCCTACTCACATCAACGTATTACGAAAGCACTAAATATGTTAGAATGACCCTAATAATATCGAAATTTCCCCCGTGACAAATGCAAGGTGTAAACATACGCTGCTCTTCATAGCCCATACGTACATTGAATGCTTGAAACTGAGATACGGCAAAAGGAAATCATAATTAATGAATAACAGACATATGTATACATATGTACTTGAATAAATCCAATCATATTTTAAATGGAAGTATGTATTCAAATATGACGTTCTGCTGTTATTAATTATGCAAGTTACATTTAAGACGTCATAAAGAGATATCCGGTGATTAGTAAAAGACATATAAAACACAAAAGAAATAAATTTATGTGGATACTGTTTTCTTCACAAAGAAACCAAAGGATTTGTTTTGAGATGAGCTGTTGTCGTTTTGAAGAGAAATAAAATAAAACGTGAAGACTGCTCTTATGTTCAGCAGTGACTAACTACAGGATGAAGTTATCTAGAATTCCAGTGAGAAGTCATGACCAGTAGGGTCCAACGACCAAATCGGATGGCAGGACAAAAACTCACCGATGGCATTGGCAGGAGTTAAAATTTAGGGGCTTTTGGATTCGTTCCCAGTAGCTGACTGGTCAATAGACTTGTCTCATAAGCTGAAGGCTCCGAGTCCGATCCCCGGTGGGGTCACGTGTGCGCACTGCTGAACAGTCCCAAACTAGGACTACGACAGCCATCCAGTATCCCTGGTTTTTCAGTGGTTCTCCAAATGAAGTCAGTTTATGGTCAAAGCAATAAAAGAATGTTTTTCATTCTGTTGAAGGAATATAACTAAACAAATATCGTTTGATACCTATAAGTATGAGGCATATTAAGTGATCAAAACTATAAAATTCACCTTTATTTTCGCATCCCATAATAGCCGACAACATTGCAAACGTTGCATAATAAGACCTTTGTGAGCACCAGCGACCATTACATCAGTTTCAGTCGATCGCACAATGGATTTGTTCTTATCCGAAGTAGCCAGTGCTTCCTTGATTGCCAATAAACGCTCCACGCCGAAACTAAAACCAACACACGGCACTCGTGTTCCCGATGAGTCGAACATTCCAACCAGACCATCATATCTACCGCCGCCAGCAACACTACCAACAGCTATCGGTTCATCACAGGCAGATGTGGTCTCAGCTTCACCGGAACCGGAATTTGCACAGTTTGGATTGTACGTGAAACCTGTTTAAAAACTATCAGTAGGTTAGTATTTCAAAGTTGTGAAAGCATGCCATTTTACATAAGATATAAACTTGGTACATTACGGGCATAAAAGAGATGCACTATGCAAAAATGATATAACAACAAAGGGAAAAAGGAAATAGGTTAGCTGATGGGCAATAACATGAAAACAGGCAACTATACTTACCAACAGCAGTCAAAAGGAGGCTCACTTCTTCACGTTACTTCCAAAAACATACAAAAAAGAGGAAACTGAAAGATATGCACAAGTGACCACTATTTGAACCATATATGACAATATCCTGGGTCACTTAGTCGAACCATTTCTCGTACCACATTCAAGGAGTTTCAATGCACCCATAGATGATAATTTCATCACAACCATGTTCATCCCAAGACATTACATCATGGTTTATCTCCGTGCTTGTCCCCAACCAACAACCTACCAAATAGTATGGAAGCTCCAGGGATGATATTCTTGGTACATGTTCGAAACACTGGAGTCTGTGTCCCACGATGAGATAAACTACTGGAAAACTATCCTCTTCAGGTAAAAAAGTAGAATGTCAAACCTCTGAATCACCTGAACAGTGTGATTATTAGAAGCAAGCAATCCGAAGGAGACTGAGATGAGTGAACATAGAGAGACAACACACATTCCCAGTTAGTAAATACCCGATCTTACATGAGTAATGTAAGACTGTGAAGCGTTATAAAATTGACCTTACGCTGCAAGATTACCGTTGCGACAGCTTCAGGGACAACCCACTTTGGTAAAAGCCGCCCTGGTTTTCAATATACCATCTGAAACTCCATCGGCTACTTCTGAAGACTCATAGGAAAGGGTAGATTCGAGTACAGATTCTGTAAAACTTGTAACAGTACTACTATGTAGAAAGGCATATTTCATACTTAATACACGCCAACTGATTAAGTGCAATTTGGGTTGCTTATATGTTACCACAGAGCAAGACGATACCGTCTGTATACTGGAAGTGTGAAATTCTTCCGCCAGATAGCAGACATACGCCACAACGAAGATCCTTCAAGGCTACGCACATACTGTTGTCGACGGCAAGTTTAAGGAAAAATGACGAGACCGGATAACCCCAACAAGTGACTAAGAACAATGGTGATAGGTAGCAGTAGCAAATGCAGCCAGTTTGGAACGATATTAGTCATCACTGTCATATCGCAAGAGAAACCTAACATACTAAAGCATAATCGGAAGCCGAACAATCGCTAGAGAAGGAGCGGTAGTCCTATAGTGACCACACGATCATTGCTGACGGTTTTCACAACTGGTTATATTTTAAAAACCTAACTCTTCCTCGTTCATATTCCTTGCGTTGCAAGTAGAATTTCCAGCAACGGTGTAGTTATTTTTAATGGTTGGGAATGTTAATCTCACACGACTTTTCTGGGATAACTGCCTGACTGTCTGTTTTCGACATAGAACTTTGCACAAATGTGCGGAAGTTCAAGTCGCCTGACTAAACACCGTATATGCAGTGTAACGTTCCCTTGTTTAGTTTCAATCCGGAACATAAAGTGAGTGCCAAGCATTTATCAGTGGTCTAAAAAATGAAGAGGTTCAAAGAAGTGAAAATTAATACTTCACTAGTAGTCATGCACGATACTACCACTTTTCAAATCTATTAGAGCATGGAGCATCAAAATTGGATGAATAATATCGTAAATACGAATCATCCAACATGCCCTAATTAACAAATGAAAAAAACCTAAATTGAGAAAATTCATTTGATGAAGTCTCATAATGTTATATTAAATATTACTGGACAATACTGTGAGACTTTATCAAATAAACTTTCTTCATGGTAGAATTATACTCTACAAGTACCCAACTGTTTTTCTGTTATCACTGAAAACCTATCCACTAAGGACAGGTGAAAATGTTGTGAGGACCTCAGACACTAATGAAGGTTTTTCTCATTAGTTATTGATCTTTATATAAATAACTACCAAATGGATACCAGACATCTTTCATCCCTTTATCAGGGTTCTACAATAATCCAAATACATTTCTGGAGAATTACCACCAACAAGACACCTCTGAATGTTCAATTTAAAAAACAGATAAATTTATGTTCACACAGTTTACATTTCATCGCATACATAACTTGCTTATAATCTAACAAAAGACAACTCAGCAAACAAAAGTTTTCTCTCACCAGTTATTTTTAAAAACACTATATTCTAAGCTGTTTCTACAACAAGCGAGCTAGTCTATAGTTTGGTAAGTAAAAGAGAAAATGTCGGTTGTTTTCAACCTCGCCCAGTTTACCGGTTCGCTAGTTTTTCAGCCAATCATAAGCCCAGGAAGGAAAGGAGGGTTAGGCGTAGGGCCAGCGACCCGACGCACACAAAAATATAAAACACAAATTTATTTTTTGCTAGAATCGGAGGCGAAATGATGCGGGCTGGTGAAAGCCCTCGAGAAGCATTCAGTTAGCCAATGTGTCTTCATTCAATGACAGAGAAAATAAGCGTGAGGACTTTGAATCTGATTACCAAAAAGGAGAAACATATAAAACAAGATTTGATCACTTTTAAGGACTCTTGAATCGACTATCACCACCACTAACAGCATGTACAGAACTGTCAGTGGACACCAATCCTCTAACGAAAGCAAAAGTCTTGAATGCAATCAAGCTACCGAATTTCACTGCTGTAGGACAGGAAAAAACTCCTCTTAGAGCTCTAAAAAGGGATTCATAGACTGAAGCAGATATGTTCACGCCACTTTTGCAAAGTGTTTGTAAGGAGGGAAAGGTGTCTATTGATTGGGAGAAAGGTTGGCTACCTTGTGGAACTATCCAATAAGGGTGACCTACGCCTCTGCAACTGCTGCCGTAGAATCATGCTCTTGTCCACGCTAAGTCAAATACCTAGTATTTAAGTCGAGTCATCCTGGACGGAATAAAAGATCCTCTGGATTCAGGAAAGGCAAGTCATGTGCTGATCAAACTGCAACTCTACCCGCTATCATCACAGAACAAAGCATAGAATGGCAGTCAAACATGAACCTTAACTTCATCGGCTTTCGAAAAAGCTTTCGACAGACAGCGTTGGCCGCGAAGTGACTCGTAAACCACTTCAACACAATTGTGCGCCCCAAATCTTTATTAGCTTCATTCAACAGCTCTATGACAATGCCATGTGTCAGTTGATCCACAATGGAAAACTCATTGAGGCGTCTGAAGTAAATACAAGAGTAAAACAAAACTGTCTATTATTAGCGATGATATTCCTAATTGTGGTGGACTGCATTATGCATCGGATTGTGAGGTGCGAGAAGATAGGAGTACGCCGGTCCAATAAGACCGATAGGATCTGAACTTCGTGGACGATTTATGTACAATGTCACATAAATTTGAAGACTTACAGGCAAAAACCCGCAAACTAGCTGTAGAAGCAGGCAGTGAAGACAGGACTTCAAGTATATATACATATATATTAAGAGAGATCACCAACCAACAGCAACAACAACCAGCACCAATCGTCATTCATGAGGAATTTGAAAGAGGTTACTTCCTTGACTTTCCTAGGAACCACAATTTCAACCACAGGCAGTCGGAACAGATGAAGATGTTAAAGCCTGCCAGAATCACAAAGGAAACGCCTTCATTAACCTAGATCAATATGGAAATCTTCTGTACTCAGCATAAGGAACAAGATCCGGGTTTTTAAAACATATGGGAAGTCAGTTCTTCCTTATGGGTTAGAAACCTAGGGTGTCACGAAAAGATTAACAAACAGGTTACACACTTTTAACAACAGCTACTTTCGCTGGCTCTTTGTTCAAGATCAAGTGGCTAACCACAAGGAAATAGCAACAATAAACCATGGGAAAACACCAACAGAGGACTTATTCCTCAACAAACAAGAAGAAAACGGACTCGGAAGGGACACATATCACGCAGACGATCGCGAAGCAAGTCCTTCACTGCGAAATTACGAGAGGATCACGAATACAAGTGTGACATGGACGAGATGAGAGACTATGGCCAGGTAAAGAAGACGGCAAATAATAGGACAAAATGGAGATGTGCTGCTAAAACCTCATCTTCAACTTGGAACCCAACGGAACAATGACAAATAAGTTATTCACAGGAAAGAGGAGACTCCACAGACTTAATAGACATCTACGTAATTATTTCCCTAATGCAACCATAAATTCAAGCCCATTACCATGGGAACGAAGGAAACTTTTCATCGCTAAATAGGATTCTATGACGTAATAGATTTATTTTCATCTCTGAAGGAATACTTCGACTCCTTGGTCACCTAAAATTCACCACCGGTAAGAACAATAAATGGTATACAAAAACAGGAAATATGAGGCTAAATTATCCATATTTATTGAATAATATCAATATGGAAGTTTATATATGATAGAGAAGATTTGTAGCTCAGGTGGATGATTTTGATGTGATTGTGTTCTCTGAGCTGGATAGTTAATTTGTGAAACTTTCATCGCCCTACTAGGCGACATCTTCAGCGCATACTTCAATTTGAAGTGAGTTTTTAGATTTCTCCACGAGCTTATTAATCATCTCTCCTGGTGACCTTGGACGTGATTGGTTGTTTTTGTGTGTTTTCACACCATCTAGGTTACTTGTATTTACTTACTTTACTTCACTTCGGCTATCTCCTACGGGAGGATGAGCCGGCTTCATGAACATCTCGAATCATCGCTACCCAGACGCGGCGATCTGATGCAAGGTTTTGCGACAGGGTTATCCAATTCTTGTTCCACAGACGGAGTCTGTAGACTGTTTGTAGCCCCAGGTACTCCATATCAGCCTTGACTGTACCAAGCCATGTTTTCAGCTGTCCACCCCTGCGACATCGCCAAGATGGAAATGGCGAGGGATTTAAAACTGATTTGACCAGATCGTCATCTGGTCGGCGCAGAACATGGCCAAACCACCGAAGGCGACGTTGTTGGACCAGTACTGGAATTTGGTTGATGTTGT